GTCATAAATGTTCTACGTAAACAAAAAGTTCCCGAATGTTTTTGATATTTTTTAAAGGCAAAACTGCACGCGCGATTATACAAGAACAAGCTCAACGGTATCCATTTCGATGTGCCTGAAAAAGATCGCGCAAACAGCGAGAATTTCCAAAATGTTTGTTGTTTTATCGCGGACTTTTTTAATATGACGCATAAATACAAGAATCATGCGGAAGACCCATTTTTGCGGAGAAATAAAATGTCGGCGGAAACATTATAACCGCATTCATAGAAATATGCTAAATAACATAGCTTGGGTGCTATTACACATACTGCTCCCCTTTATTTATTTTATATCATTATTTTAAAAATATCTTTATTATCTCTCTTTGGAGTATTTACCATACATTATCTTATTTTTGTTTTCTCCACACGGTGCAATAATACAAAGAAAATTATTTAAGAGTTTTTCATTCTCAGAAGAGATTTTATTATTGTTATACTTTTGGTATCGTAGGATATACGATCTTCTTTAAAATAAAAAATTGAAATAAATATATTTGTAAAGTTTTGAGAGTATGCAACTTTCGCAAAATATATATATTTTCGCTCTAAAATATTATAAAATATATTTTATTGTTGTCGATATATCAGTGTGACTTGGATCGAAATAAGTATTTGAAGAATCTAAGTATCGCGTCTGCAAACATCGATAAAAAATGTATTTTTCAATAAAGTGACAAGTCTTTGTAAAAAGTACAATAGGTACGTATTTTAAATTGAAAAAGTGATATTACATGTTAATGGAAAAAATAGATTACGTAAATCCTTTTTAAAATTTTAACTATTTACGCGGCAGAACAATAGATCGCGCATTTATTGCTATTTTTTTTTAAATTCAGGAATTAAAATAGATTGCTTAAATATAGAAGATAACGGTATATATATATCAAATCCATTCAATATGCATACCTGGCTATTGCTGTTATTATAAAATATTACTTTCAACTAACTGTTAACTAAATAAAAAAAAAACTTTCAATATAATAAATATATCCTTTTCGATTTTCAGTTTTAGCAATAAAATGATACTTAAAAATGTCCGTTTTTCACTCAAGATACAGCTATTGAATCGAGTCGTTGATAAAATGTAAACTGTAGGCTTTTAGTTATCTACACATTATAAGAAAAATCATACAGATATAATACTACTTATAGATACAAGCGTACTTTTATAACATTTTACCTTAGATACATATGTTATTCCAATTTTTACTAGTATTGGTTGCTCGCGTTCACAGCCGAACGATTCAACAGATATTCGGTTATTCCGACTCACAATTGCAGCCGTTGCAATTTCGCTTCAAATCGTTCGCACTAATACATCGAAATTTTCATCCACAATAATAGTAGCAAAGAATACGAAAAATGTGCGCGCTTCCACGACCTGCGTTTTATCAGTTCATCTCAATTCTTTCAATTTTCTCCCTTTTCGTTTGAGTATCGATCCCGTATGCATTTATACCGTGTAGTTATTCTTATAAAAAAATATTTTACTTGTTTTCTTACTGTTCAAAATTCAGTTTGTTATTATACGCAGCGTATTCAGGATTGTGTATAAATAAATCGGCGTATCATCGACGTAGTTCTCGCGAATAAGACGTCATATTGATTCGAGAAACGAAGCCGCGTTGCGTCCGTTGGAGCGTTAGCTACCGGACATAAATTATGCACTATCAGTGGAGCCGATAAGTATTAGTTTAGTTTGAAATTTGTTAGCCGAGTCAGGCATTCGGGGTACGGCTTTCACAGTCACGAGCGGGAAAAAAAGTACGGCGAAGTTAGATGAATCATGAATAAATTTACGCGTCGAACCTTTATTCCGGAATGATCCAAGTTTCTTTATAGTATAGTCCCCTCGCGCTATGCGATAATACCGAAACTTATATCGCAGCAGAACATAAATTACTGGTACACGTAAATTAGATGTGCCATCCTTTTGGCCGAAATTGACGTTCGTTGTATTAAATATCGTCGTAGAAACGAATTGTTCGCCGCGGAATCTATCTGTTGGCGAGGTACTTGTTATGCCACTTCGCAACGTGAAAAAATAATTCCTATTTCCGCGAATTCGTTTATGCTTCAACAATGTTCATTAAAGTATTATTCGTTTGCGACAATTCGGTACAAATGAATTTTTAATTACATTATTTATTCATCAGACTATTTAATTAACGTTTAAGGTAATAATCTTTATGATCATAATCAGGATCATAATCAGTATCAAAATAAGAATTGGCAGAAATTAACGATAAATAATCGTTGTATTATTTTTCTTCTCGTTTTAATCAAGCAAACAACGTGACGTACTTCATAACAATTAAGACACACTTCGGATTGATCGCGCGTCTCATCAATTGAGTACACAAATTTTGTAAAAGTCGCGTCCTTGGCACAAGGAAAGCTCTCTTCGAAAGAAATCGAATCTTCTATTATCTCGTCTTATCGTAGGCGGAAATAACACTCGTTCGTTCGAGCTGGCGCAGCACTCAAGCGACTAAACTTGCGACGCCAGCCGGGAGCGGCTGCAGACTCAATTAGCTCCGCGGAAAACTTTCATGGAGGGATTACGATGTCAACAACGTCTTTCTTGCGCGAATGACGTTCCGCGCGTCGAGCAAAATTGTTGTTTATCGAAATGGTAGTCTTCCGAGCGCGGCGTGCCGTCACGCTTTTGAAATCACGTCAAATGCTTGAGTATTTAACTCCAGTTTACTACATTCTGCCAAGAGTCTTTATCTTCATTTCAATTTTCATTATTCAGTTTCTGGAAACAAACTATTTCTCGGACATATAAGGTTTAAGAGATTATTTTATAAAATAAAATTTTGCACAAATTTTATTAAATACCGGCAATAAATCCGTAGTTTACACAAAAAATATGGTTAATGACAAACACTCTACATAAGAGAACAATGCTAATAAAAAAAGTTAATTGAATAAAAATGATGAGTTTTTTAGTATAATCGACGTATAATGCACATGTTTGAGTTTCTAAATAAAAGTACAACGAAAGGACCGTTTCCATTTTATGTAAAAAAAAAAGATTAAAGCTTCGATAATCGCGATATTATACGGTATTAAACAACTTATCGCGCCATAATAGTCTGCATCGTTTATTATTATTAATTTTAAATATTAGCTCTGCCAAAAGCGTATGCAAATCAAAAGTGTAGATATTATATTTAGCATACGTCGCATGCTAAAACTGATGTACGTCAATAATAAACAAGATTCTAGCACAACTTACTATGAAAGAATCATGATTACTTCCAAATAGCAAACGGTGATTAAATTCATAATTTAATTAGCAATTACGATAAAACGCTCAATCATAAATAGAGAACGCGTATTTATTCATCCAGACTCCTTTCTTGATATTGGCGCAGTTATATACTATAACTATAATTTAATATTCTCTAATTGATTTTTAATATTACGTACGCTTGATTAACATATTGTGAACGTAGACAATACCGCTATGAAAATATATCATATATTCTAAGTATATCTTGTTATGATATGCAAATTTATCTCATAACAATTTAATGTTGAATTTTACGTTCCCTTTTCAATTTACGGTAAATTGATTTGTCGATGTAATGCTCGATATATCATTATCTTTTATTTAAACTTTTTACGCTCACCGATAAACGTAAACAAAGTTATAAACGCGTCAGCGTTTCTGTACTAAAAATATGCGCAAATAAATGCGAATAAAAAAAAATAGATTCAACGGTATCGTTGAACATTTTCGCAGAGGCTTCTCACATAAATCACAATTCGTCTGATTTCATTTATCGATATTACGTTATCGTAAATTGACAATTAATCTATTCGTTTCTATAAATACATTCATATCGCATGTATATGTGTACGTGCTTTTAGAGAGAGAATTTTGGAAGAAAAAATTTGTCTCTCCCTGTCTTTCTCTCTCTCTTTTTCATTTGCAAATAATTTATTACGAAAATAATGATACCATTATTCCGCGAATTGCAAAGCCTGCAAAAAGATAATTTCTCGCGAAAAAGACAAATATATACGCATGAAATAAATCTTTGTGATTGGCTGCACAGTTTCGAGAAATATAATTTTAAATATAAAATAGAATGCATTTATTTATTTATATATTTATAAGAGTAACCTGACCACTAGAGCATATTAACATTTTTAAATCTCAAAAATTGCAGCTTAATCTTCCTGCAATGAGAATCAAACTGGCTTCGTCTATCTCCCGTCTATCTCGGCAAAAGAAAAATTATTCAAAAGAAAACCGATGATTTAAAACGCTATTTTTTCCAAAAGTAGCTAAACTACATCGTTCCGATATCGCGATTACGGTCAAGTTTCACAGCCTCTTTCCCTCTACCTTCCATTACCGCTAAATCCTTCAAATCGGAATCGATCGCAGCGGTCGGTCACGATACGACGCCGACGTGGCAACGGCGACGGCGACGGCGACGGCGACGATACGCGAGCCTTAAGGGTAAGCCGGAGCAACGGAGCAATGGTGATTTTTACGATTTTATTCTAAGCGGGGGTGTTATTGGCCGAGAGGCTGTCTCAGTCTCTCAGATCGATCTCCTCTCGCTACGTTATGCCGCCTCGGAAAAGCGCCACCAAGATTCTCGTCGTTCGCGCTAATCCCCCTTCCCCCTTCCTCTGTCAACTTTCACAGGTTCTCCTGAGCGCCAATTTCTCATAGTTTCACGAGCTACCGAGATCAATATCGCTTTTGAGAAGCATATACATATGGTAGTTCCGCAGAACTAATTGGAGCGATAATTGGAGAAACTTTTTCAATTTTATAGAAAAGCCCCGACGATTTTCGAAATATCATAACCCGAAGGGAAACGAGCGACGAAAACGCGAGGCTTTTCAATCCTTCAATCCTCTAATTTAAATCATTCTTTGTCGAGCACTAGATATTCGGAGAAACAGTTATATTAGCGTTGTACTCACCTGGTCGGCGATCTCCGTTAGGTCGTGTAGACTTATGTTGTAAATGGCGTTTCTGCAAAACGAAACGAAACGGAAGCGTTAAATCCTGCCCATAAATCGTCCCCGTAATCTTCTCTGCGCTTCGTGCGTCGTGCGTCGTGCGTCTCCGTGTCGACACTCGAAATACTCGGATTGAATTGAAGTGATTCCAGACATTAGAATAGTTAGAATATATTGTTCTAAGTTCTAGACGCGGAATGCGACCAGACGTGGCTCCGCGCGGCTCACCCCTCTCGCCCGAAAATCGGGTGACTCCGGACTAATTCGGGTGGTGGGGACGCGCGTGCCGCGCACGCCGAGCTTCAGCGCGTAAACAAGGACAGACGTTACGTTCTCTCGCGCGCGACGATTTAAAATCAGATATTGAATCGGTCACGCTTTATTATACGGTATGATGTTTGTCTATAAATACAAATGCTTATATCTTTAATCGAAAATTAATAAAGAATAGATATAGAAGAAAACTTTTCCAAAAACAACGTATACATTACTCCTATTAATGTACCGTTCAGCGATAAAATTAATAAAAGAAGTATTAATAATAAATTAATATGTAAGAAATAAACATAAAATAAAATTAATTAATAAAATTACGTAATTCTCTAAACTTTTGTAAATTTCACATTTACATTCGATTAAAAATCGTCATAGAAGCCCGTCTATAAAAAGTTTTTATATGTATATCATAAACAAATAAAGGATGAATATTTATATTTACAATGCTTCTATAATAAATTTAATAAATTATTATTCTCTATTAATTACATATTGTTCATATGTAGGATAGCTTGATTTTTTTATGACGATGTAATGCATATAAATGTGAAATTTAAAATAGACGTTTATAAAATTATTTATTTTTTATTATTTATTTCTTAAATTTTAATTCATTAATTTAATCGCTAAACGGAGTGTTAATAGTAAATTGTTTTTTAATAGAGATATTTCTTGTATCTTTATTTATTTCTTTCAGATTAAACATGATTCGAGAAACATATTTTTCATGTAATGTTAACGCGTTTTTTTTAAGTGGTATCTCCTGTTCCACTAAAAAAATACTATTATGAAATAATTGAGCTTACAGTTCGTCAGAAAGAAAAATAAACCTAAGTATATAATATTCTATATATTCTTTAATATTTTCAATTTTTTACATACTTGTCTCTGTGACAAGTGTGATGTCTTATTCGGATTTTCGGATGAGCCGCATTCTGATTCTGCATCACTTCAATTTGAAACGCGAATAAGCATTGGCAATTATGAGTAAACAGCAAGAATGACGCACAAAGAACGCGATATATTTAAAAGATAAATTGTGGGCTTTCTTTCAAAGAATATAAAAACTGTTTTCAGGTGACGTCTAAATCTTGCATGTGCGGAAAGAACGGAAGTGCGAAAGATAAATCAAGCGGAAAAACCAAAGACAAAATTGGAACCGTAAAAAGATCCATGCTATATATCTCTGGATGTAATTGATTTTACGACTCAGGTTGCGCTGACTGTTGGCAGAGAGCACAATCGAGAAAAAAATTAAATTATTTTTTGATCCATATCAAATTTCCATTAGCCAATGTATTTGTATCAGATTCCGCAAAGAGATACGCTATTGATCTCCAGCCCACCGCTTTAACAGCGTAACTGGAGCAGCTTGATAAAATAATATTAGATAGTAGAAAAGTGTTTTTTTTTTATGTGTATACACGTGCAACTAGAATGGCGAAACGGTCGTCGCCCTTTGAAATACGAAATAAATTTTTGAATGTGAACTATCTTTTCCTTTGTGCTTTCTATCGATTGAATCGCTTGCGGATAACAAGATGTCTCAAACCCACTTTCCTTCTACGAGTCCTTTGACCAATTTGCAACAGACTTTTCTTAACGAAAAAGTCAAAAGAATGATAGCATCTAAATTATATGCAACCAAAAGTATAAGTCTTTTTGAAAATTAAACGGCTTTAAAAAAGTAATAAAATCATATTCTGCATTCAATTTTAAATAATCTTTCACGAAATTTTGCTTTGAGACTTAAGATAAATGATGACTGAAGATAAATAATGTTGAAAATCAAAAGGCTGTTAAAAAAATTATATCCCATTAAATCTTCATTAAGTTGAAACTGAAGGTTGGGCAAAGAATTCATAGTCGAAGAGCGGTCTGGTACATCCGGTATGCTGCATGCTGTCTTTGGCCTTTGAATACAAATGAATAGTGCGCGTTGCGCGTAAACCGCATCTCTGATGTTTGCTACTAATACGCGTGATGCTGCGTCACCCGCTGCTGATGCGTAATCGAATGAATGACTCGACCCGTCGGCCACTTGGGGCTCGTGGCACCAATGAGCGGAGTCTAGCCGATGACTATCTCATTTATGTAAGCCCCCCCACGAGTAGCACGAGGGGACGACGCGACGAAGAATCGAATCACGTAACAATTACCTGGCACCAATCAGAATAGAGGTTGTCGCACGTTCTAGGAGCTTGAAGTGTTCTACGTGGCTTTCATTGCCCAGAAATCGCTGGCCAATCACCTCACCTGTAACAGAAAGAGATGTTTCGTTAAATCTCCATCTCATAACAGAGAAATAAAAAAAAAAGAAGAATTGTATAAATATGATATTCTTATAACTTCGTGTGATAAGCACTAGAAAAAAAATGACTAAATTGCATATACTACGTATTTTCTAGATATTATTTAAAATTATTTTCAATTAGTCTATGTAATGTAAAAAATACACATATATAAGAAATATAAATTGAATTAATAGCAAGCAATGCTTCCAGCATGAGTATCGATTTCCTCTGAAGTATTTGCAGAAAACATGTTCTGCGTGAATCGATCAATCATGCAACTGAATCATAATACACGTCGGACTTCGCGCATCAGGCTACAATCTTCCTGTTACATTCTCACGTCCGCGAATAAACTATTCGTGTATACATTATTCGCACGTGTATAGCTTTACATGCGCACATTAATCGATAATGTGTAGATTATTCCAAAACTGTCGAGCCACATTTCGTAGATCTCTAGAGCAATTAAAATGATTTTTTTCTTATCAATCTCATCTCATTGTAGATTCTTAAAATTTTCAATGTCAGATATCTTGTAACTCATTTTTCAAAATTACAAGCTTCTTAAATTAATTTCATTCAGAATTATATAAAGTTAAAGTTTCACTATTTAAGGTTTATTTTCAGGAAAAAAAACTTGATTTTCGATCGCTTAAACTAAAAAGCTACTCTAGCGTCTTTTTTTAAATCTCTTTGCTCGAATCAACTCCAAACTAATCAAATGATCCGGTAGAGTAGATAAAAGGTGGCTGTGTGTGAATAAGTCCGGGACACTATGAAATCCACGACGGTATCCGCAGCGAGAACGCGATATAACGACAACGCATCGGCTGCATCTCGTCGACAGAAGAACTTGTTACGATAAGCGAAGGGGGTTAGGGATGGAGTGTAGCAAGTATGCAGAGAAGATATCCAGGAAGCATGTGTAAAAGACTGAAAGGTAGGTCTCTTAGCCTTTAGTCGACGATAAAGCGCCGCGCCTACTTTGTGGTAGCAGCAGCGGCGGCTCTTCACTCGATTCTCCACCCCCGTCTCTTTATCACTCTCTTTCTCTATCTCATCGCAGACTACCATCGACACTCCACACCGTCTCACGACCCTTTCCTTCCTATCCACCTACCTACGACCACCGTATCCGAACCCCTTCACACGCAGTCGACAGAGCGCTTCTTCCCCTAGACATTTCGCGTTATGTTTTTTCACTTATGTATGCGACCGCATTACGGCATATACCGGGGATAGGGAAGATAAGAAAGAGAAGAGTAGGAGCGCGCGCGTTCTCTGATCTGTGTACCAATACAATGTCGAGGATTCTTCAAGAATAAAAATTTTTTACGAAACCTTTTCAATTTTTCTCTATTTAAAGATTATAAATCTTTATGAATAAATTATCATGCAGTTTTTTCATCGCGTGTTAGTATCCACAGTTGGAATTGTCATCTCACCAAATAAAAAAAGTTTACTAAAAAAGTTTATTAAAAAAAGATTTCTTAAAAAAGTTATCATGCTTATAAAATTTTATTTTTGGAAAATAACAAGAAATTTGTAGTACGTAATAATAAGCTATATAATATTCATGATTTATTATCATTTTGTATTATACTTTTTAATCAATTCATGACAACAAAATATTTTTTTTTGCAAAATGCATCAAATGGATGTTAGAAATTAGCATAATGAAATTTCGATATGCATGAAATGCTAAGTAACGGTATGCATTCATAAATGAGAAGGATAAAAGAGGTGGAGTTCAAATAGCATTCGGAATCGCCATAGCAAAGGCTTAAAGTCCGTATCATCGAGTACGTGAGATCGCGTGGATGAGTTTTCCGATACGTTAATCTGGTCGGATAGCATTCTCGTTCGACATTGATCTGCTCTCTATATTCGTAAGAGCGAAAACAGACTGTCGTTGAGATCTATAAGAGCAAGAATAATCCTACTTGCAATGCATATGACTGTCACCAGTAGAAGGAATAGTTATTTTTTTGCATTGCTGGCACAATGCATTTCGCTTTACAATAGTAATAAAAAATCACGAACTGTAAGCAGAGAAATTCCTCGAGTTCCAATCGCAATCGGCTTTCTGCGACTCGATGGCTTAGCAGAATTTTTAGTCCTTTTAATAGTATATCCTATGCCGCGTTCCAGATCAAATTTATTGTTTGTTTTCAAGGGAGAAAGATTTATATGTGTAGAAAAATGTGATCTTTTAATAAAAAATCACTTCAATCATTTTATATATAACGATATTTGGATATATCACAACATATCGAAAACTTTTAGCCAATAAAGCTTCTATATAATCGAATTAAATATTATAACATATACATGTGAATGTTTATTGTAAGAAAGATTCAATTTAGCTGGTAAATAATGTTACAAAAATACATAAGTTGTAGTACAAAAAAATATATTTATTTTTTAAATATTTTATTATGTATTTTTTTATACTTCTCATTTATATTAAAAAAACACATTTTAATCTTTAAAATATACACATTTATTTTTTCATATTATATTAAATTAAAAATTACATTTATAATATATGTATATTACTCTTCACAGCGGTTTACAATAAAAATTGTTTACTACTTTTTTAATTTCTGATAAAATTAATATCCAAATAAATCATTTCATAAAACAGTAAAGAAACTTTTCAACATTATTAATCTGCATGAATATCGTTAGAGTGATAAATGCTTTCTCTACTTGTGTATTTGTCAGGCTTTAAAGCACTCGCGTTATTTTTTGCGTTTTTAGCGGTCAATTTGTATTAATTCCAATAGGACGCATTTTATGAATCAATTTTCTATATATAGACATGCGGTACATCTGAAGCGTTTATACACGCATATATAGAAGTGAGTGGATTTATATGATTAAATTTCAGAGCTATCTGTCAATCAATAATTTCTTTATCAATCATTGGATTCGACCAATTTTCTATTTCTTTTATCGAGAAGATAATTCTTGTGCAATTTGTGTTACATATATATATGTATATACTGTTCTTTTATTATAAATCTAACATTTTCGTACAAAATTCATATAGAAATCCGTATTCCTAAAAAAAATCTGTTTAAAAAGTCGGTTTACTTCAGATTACCTGAAAAATTTTCCATTCGTTGTAAGTCTGTTAAATTATTTATTGGAAATGGATTTAGTAGAGATAAAGTTATTGAAAATACGCTAAACTTTTTATCTGCAAAGAAGTACAGAGAGTTTAAATATCGGGAGATATCTTCATCGTGGACTAGATTCAAATATTGTCTGAATATAAATAAACCGAGTAATATTTTGCATATAGCATCCAATATGTCAGGCTTTTAATTTCTAAATCAATAATAAGGAATATATTTAAAAAATATATATATATATGTATATTAAAAATATTTCGATTTTTTAGCCAATACATATATATTTTTTTCTTATATTTTTTCTTCAAAAAAATAAAGAAAATTTAAATTAATTTATAATTTAAGATAATCGACCTTATATATTTTTTCCCATGTGTATACGTTATTATATTGAAATCATCGCATAATTTTAATTTTAATTTTATAAGCAAATATATATCACGTACTTTACAAGATTAATTTACAATTTCGATTAAAATCAGTGGACAATCACCGCGAATGTTTGTCGTTAATCACTTATCTGCACCGGAGTTTATGGTTGATAAAGCCATCTGGGTTCCTCGGTTCTAAGATTGCTCCCATGAATATAATTCTCTAATGATAAGACAATATAATTCTACCCATCATTCAACCCTGATTATTATCAAGTAAAATCCACGAAAGCGTTCTAAACTCATTTGCAAGGCGAACATACTTTCCTCCTCCTCCACGATATAAGTTACCTTAATTTCGACAATGTTGTTCTTTATGATCTCGCGATGCATATGGATGCAGTTCCTAGCTACGATTGCACTTTGCCTACTACATACATATGCATAGATGTATGTACATGTATTGTAATCATGGTTTATAGCGGAGGGTGAGTTCGGCACGCGTCAGCTCTTACGATGTAATTTCTTATTCCCGAGCATCGTCACCGCCTCTCATCGGCACGCGACTGATGCAGATAAGGATCGATCTTCGCCTCAAAAATGTACAAGGTGTCCTAGGGTCACCGGAAGCACTTTCAACTTCAACTACTCCTAAATCAAACGCAGATTCTTAAATATATATATATATTAGAATTCTTTCATCAACCTATATAAAGCGATATTGAGAATTATTTTTGTTGCTATATATCACGTAGTATATTTATATAGGCCACAAAAATGAATAATATGTAACAATCGTAATACAATATATTCAGTTTTCTCAAAATTATGAAATTCCACTGTTTGCTGATACAAATCGAGAATCAATCTTTCTTTATTAAATATGTCGTGAATAGTCAATACCTGTTTACCAGTTTTCTTAATAATTATTTTAAAAATTTATCAATTTTTTGAGAAAAATCAATATAAAACGACCTATGGTCAGTATAGTTGAGTAGTTCTGCAACACTCTATGTAGCGTGTACAGATAGCATGAAGACCCGACCGTGGCATAGATAAACGAAATTGACTCCTCGACGAGTCGAGTCGTTTTCGAAACGTATATTGATATCGGCTCGTGGCTTACGAATCCCGGGCTCGCATTGACTCGAATCAATTTCCTTGGCTGGTCGATGCTTATCGACAACTCTGCTTCCTCTATCAATGTTTGGTCGGTGATCGATCGGGCTACGTTCCGATTTCGTTTAATTTTCATCACGTGACAGTGGATCCTCGTTGTTGAAAACAAGACACGCGATCGCAAGACTTCGATTTACGGCTCACTGTCGAGCGACTTTAAATCGGTAATTAAAATCAGTGACCGGCAATCGATCGTTAAACAAAGCCAACTCTAGAAGATCGTACGATGTTCTTCGTATCTATTTCAGGAAAAAGAAATATTGCTATCACAT